TAAGCAACGACTCTGAATACCGGCCTATGTCTTATTTCTTCAATGCTCGATCTGGTATCGACACTGTTGGATTTTATCATAATTTTGACGCGTCAAAATAAGAACAATTTTAATCTACGTACATTACCGCCACCTACATTAAAATTCTTTTTATTTTGATGCGTCAAAATTATGTTCAAATCCAACAGTATCGATGCCAGATAGAGCATTGAAAAAGAAGAAATAGACTTAATACTCATTTTCACGTTTTCAATTCTAGACGAAATTAACACAAGCCCGAACCGGTTTTTTACAGCCGGATAGTTTTACTGTCCCAAGCTGTACACTATAATTAGTAATAAAACCGGCAGTGGGAAGTCACGCAGAGTACGAAGTTTTACAGAGGAAATGTAGGGAAATAGTTCATATGTATACCTCAAAAATGCACATAACAAGCTTATTTTTGTAGATAAATAATTTTTTCGAAACAAATTTTCCGTTTGAGGAAACAAGATAACGAAGTTTTAATTCAGTGCTAGGAGACGGATTGTAATCATTAATGTTAGCAGATCGGCTGTTGAATTGAAAATCGAATATTCAGATTCAGTATGCGCACACTGTCCATGAACGTCGATAAAAAAATGAAGAAATATCTTATTAACTCGACTCACCACTTCGCCTCGCCACGTGATCGTCATGGAGCCTCGCATCTTCCATTTTGTTCTCGAATCTTCTACAGTGCACAGGGATATCGCAAACACACGTACAATTATTACACCTGTGAAATTCCAAAATACGCAATAGCCCTACTGCTCTATTGCCTGACTTTTAATGGCAGGAATGACTAGATACGGTTCCTGGTTAAAAAATTATTTTTATTTTAATATTTCGTCACTCCATTCTCGACATGTCCGGACTTGACTGGGCTTCACTATCGCAAACAATCGCAAAAGACTGCAAAAGACAAAAGACGAATGAGCACGAATGAGGCACGCTTAGCCAGAGGTTCAAACCTCTTCTGCAAGAAACGCGCGACGAAAGCGCTACGGCGACAGATAAACCAACTGCCAAGCTACAGACAGATCACCGATCGCGTTAAAAATTGCTAACCGTGCTTTTTCACGATGATCACAAAATCACGATCACGAATCGTGATCACGGTCGTATATACAGGTCGGGAAACTCTGGTCAATTCTGGTGGTGGGGGTACAGCTCTTAGGAGTTGCCAGTCAAGCTTTGCTAATTCGCCACGATACGTAGTGCGCTGCGATTGAGTTCAGATGCGAGTGGTCGTATATATCAGTATATATG